ACTATACAGAACAGCAGACTGAATAAGATCCATATGCCATATTCGTCAGTATAACCAGATGGGGATGGCAGACATGATGAAGGTGTTCCCAAAGAAGAGTGTGGAGGACTTGGCCAAGAGGTTGCGACTGCCTTTGGGAGCCATGGCGGTACCAGAGCCATGAGCAAGGAGCAGCCATACTATTTTAAATGTAACAGTAATAGATATGAAGTCAGGATTTTTTATAAGACATGAAAAAGACTATCATTGATAGTAATAAAGTCAAATTTCATATTTCATATGGGAATTAGGTTGCTTTCACTCTCAGAGAAGCACTTTATGGATATTCATATAGGCAAAAAGAGAGTTTCCCTAGCTGAAATTGTACTATGGCAGTCTAAGCCTTTCGTTCGTGTACTTCATAGATTATTTGAACAAGAAGTGGGTGGGAAGTGGGAATACAGGAAGGCATAGCCCTCTTCCCGTAATATTGGCCTTTCACACATGTAAGTTATCTCCCCTTGTCTGTCTCTGATTCAGAAATTGGAGAGACATTTTATTTTCAATTTTTTTCTCTTTTTACAGAGAATAATTTAGATGCATGGCCACTTTGCCCATCATAACATAACTGAAATAGAAACTCTTCCATAATAGTGGACATTTGTTTTCACAAATCCTTCTAGTTATAAGATTTATAGTACTTAATAAACTGACAAACTAAACCTATTTCATTTATTTTTATTTTTAAAAATGTTTTATTGATTTTTAGAGTAAGACAGAAACATGGATGCGAGAGCAAAACATCCATCAGCTTCCTCCAGCATGAGAAGGATTGAGCCCACAAGCTGGGTATGTGCCCTGACTAGGAATTGAACCTGCGACGTTTCGGTGCACAGGATGATGCCCAACCAACTGAGCCACAGCGGCCAGGGCACTAAACCTATTTTAAATAAACAATTAATGGGGAAGCCACAAAGAGAATCCAGGTACTGAAAACCACATTCTATTTAAAGTATCTCCTCTCCAGTATGGTTCAGACTGACAAACCTCAGAGGAGGGGGGCGGGGGAGAGGGATGAGATAAACCAAAGAACTTATATGTATGTATGTGTAACCAATGGACATAGACAACAATGCTTGGGGGTGGGTGGGATAGGGAGGAAGGTGTGTGCGGGGGGGTGGGGGGGAAGAGGGCATTTGTAACAGAAATAAATAAATTAATAATAATAAAAAAGTATGTCCTCTCCCCAGGCTGGAGTGCAAAGAGGCTTGGATGAGGCTTGATGAAAGGAGAATGAAAATTGTAATATAAGGTCATCTCTCCCTAAGTTTAGGAGGCGTGACCATGAAGAAGCAATTTAGGTTCCTCTGGAAGGGAGAACAGTATACTCTGAAAGATGCAGGAATCACATCCTTATTTAATCTACCTGGTTAGCCTGGAGATGAATAGTGGGTAATTGTAAAAGTAATCAGGTTGTGATGTGAATTGAAGCCATCTGGATGATGTTATTTTCCTAGAGCAAATCAACATAGACCCTGGCACCTGGTAAGTGGCTATTTGTCTGACAAATGCTCTTTTCTCTATACCAATCAGCTGAGACTATCAGAAGCAGCTTGCTTTCATCTGGAAGGAAGATAAGTCCGACTTTAGTCCCTTATCTCAGGGCTATGTCTATTCTCTGGCTCAGTCATAATCCAGGCTGAATGGAACCTGATTGTTGCTGCAATCATGGTGAACATCATGCCAGTCCATTACATTGAAGACATTTTGCTTACTGAACCTGGTGATCAAGAGGTAGCATAAATGCTTTATAAGACACATGTATGCCAGAGGATGAGAGCTAAAACCCACAAAAACTCAAGAGACTAACCCTCAATGATTGTTTGAGGTGGTCCAGACCATGTCAGGTATTCAACAAGTTGCTGCACCTTATACCACCTACTACTCAGAAAGAGGCACAGCATTTTGTGGGGCTCTTCAGATTCCACAGGCAACACATAATACATTTAATTGTGTCACAGCAATGCATTCAGCAAGTAATCTGTCAGGCTGCATATTTTCAGTAGGACCCAGGGTTAAAAAAAAAAAAAAAAAGGTTCTTCAGCAGGTTTAGGACAACTGGTTTTTAATGATCATGCAGATTCAACATGATAGAGCCCATTGACATACTGGGAGTCTACATGGAGTCTCTGGCAAATCCCAATAGGAGAAACATACAGTGGACCCCTAGAGTTTTTTTTTTTTAATCCTCACCCAAAGACATTTTTGCATTTATCTTCAGATAGAGCGGGAGGAAGAGAGAGAGAGAAACATGGACGTGAGAAGGACACATCGACTGGTTGCCACCCACACAACCCCAACCAGGGCTGGGGACAAACTGCAACCGAGGTACGTGCCCTTCGTGGGAACCAAACCTGGGACTCTCTGGTACGCAGGCCAACGCTCTAACTGCTGAGCCAAACCGGCTAGGGCAGACCCCTAGAGTTTTGAGGCAAATCATGTCCTCTACCACAAAAGAAGTATTTCTCTTTTGACCAGCAGCTTCTGGCTTGCTCCTGAGCTATGGCAAAGTCTGAATGCTTGACCATGGGGCACCAAGGCACCATGTAACTGCAGCTGCCCCTGATAAACTGGGTGCTAATTGATCATCCTCTGCAAGTAGAATATTTGAGACCAGACTCAATCAGGTCTGGAAGGTACAGCAAAATTGCTCGAGAAGGTGGCTCATATCTCTGTGGCCCCTATTGCTGCATGACACCCTTTCCTTTGACTCACGCCTGTAACGTCATAGGCATTCTTCATGACTAGGTATATTGGTCAAGGTCTCAGAAGGAAGCAAAAGTTAGACTCAATGGATTGAACTGAGTAGAGTATAATGAGGAGTTTTTGTTTTGTTTTGTTTATACAGAGGTGAGAGCAAGCTTAAGGGAATTAGTAATGAGTGATGAGGCTCCCAGGGACTGGCATCAATTGATATGGTCACTGCCACTGCCATGTACTTAATCTGCCTACAGCAGAAGCCAGCAGTGAGCCCCCTATAAGGTATCATTCCCTGGGAAGTCCAGCCAGCCACCTGGTGGCAGATTGATGAAATCAGACCATCTTTATCTGGAAGGGACAGCAATTTGTCCTTACTTGAATAGGCACTTATTGTAACCCATATTGCTGCCAACATTCCCACTCACAGACTTGCTGCCCCTTATTCACCTTTACAGTATCTCACATAACAGTGCTTCCCACCAAAGAAATTATAAAACAAAAGACATGTGCCAGTGTGCTCATGCTAAGGAACTGCACTAGTCTTACCGTATACCTCATTGCCCTAAAGCACCAGGGATGGCCAATCTATTAAAGACTCAGTTATTACACTAGTCAGTAAAAATACCCTGAAAGGTGGAGGTTCTATCTTACAGAATGAGGTTAATACTTTGAACTGGTGATCTATATATAATGCTGCTTATCCATAGCTAGAATTCATGGGTCTAGGAAATAAGAGGTGGAAGTGGACATGACTCTTCTCACAATCACACCTAGTAATACACTCTCAAGGTGTCTCTTCCCATTCCCACAGCTTTGAGTTCTGCTGGTCCCCAAGGTAGGAATGCTTCTACCAGGGCTACAACATTGGTTCCATCAAATGGCAAGTTGAGGTTCCCATCTGGCCATTTAGGGTTCTTTATGCCATTATACCAAAAGGCAAACCAGGAGTCTACTGAGCTAGCTTGGATGGTTGATGTTGATTATCATATGGAAACCAGGTTGCTGGTAAACAACAGGATTAGTAGGATTATGTTTTGAATCTAAAAGATCCTCTGGGGCACATCCTACTGCTATGTCCAGGCAAGACCACTGAGGATTCAGACTCAGTGGGAGTAAAGGTTTGGGTCACTCACCCCATGGAGAATTCTGACCAGCCGAGGTCCTGCCTGTAGAGCAAAGGGAGAACAGGGAGGGTAGTGGAAGAAGGAAGTTATAAAGATCAATTATAGAAATGAGGATTGTAGTAGCTCTGTGTGTGTGTGTGTGTGTATACATGTAAACTTTTCCAATCTTCCTTCTCTCTGTATCTTATACACGTCAAATAAAGGTTGATAGAGATTATAGGATATTGAGGTGGAATATTGTCTGAACTAGAAGAGGAATGGCTATACCCTAAAGATGGCTACAACGACTGATGGAACTTGCTTTTTAAAGTAGTTTTTTCCATCTGAATCTCTTACGAAGGAAAGGGAGGAGGGTTAAAGTTAATTTCTGAGTCTTTTGTTTCTTTTTTCTTTTAAGTTTATTTTTTATTGTTGACAGTATTACAGATGTCCTCTATCCCCCCCCCCCCCCCACACACACACACTTCTCCTGACCACCCAGCCCTACCTCACCCCAGGCCTTCACCACGCTATTGTTTTTGTCCTTGGGTTATGCATATATGCATACAGGTTCTTTGGTTAATCTCTTCCCATCCCTCCACCCCCGCCCCTCTAAGGTCGTTGTTTCCTTGTTGATTGAGCCTTTCATTTCTTAATAACCAGCTTGAAATCAGTATCCCAAAATGCATATTTCGGGGTGGCAAAACTTCAGTCCCCCTAAGAACCGTTTCTCTGCAAACAAGTGGAACAGGGAAGTCAAAGAGAAGGCAATGCTTTTCTTACTGCCTAACTATATACATAGCAGGTGCGAATCATAGCTTTAGGCTTTCGGACCGGAGGCCCCGAGACTAACCCTTTTGACGTGACTGGTCACGGGTGGGGGTGAGGGCAACGGGGGACTGTTCCGTACTGCACTCTCTTTAGGTCGAGGGGCTCCTTCCGTGGTCCGGCAACAGGCCACTCAGCTGGGCTCCTGCTCGAAGGGGCTTCCCGGGCTTTGCCGCTTGCTTCCCCCGCTGTCTCGCGCTGCAGGCGGTGGCGCCCGTCCCCTCGGGGGTTGGCGGCCGGAGGCGGGGGTCGCGGCTGCCGCACTGGGCGGTGCTGGGCGGGCGGGCGCTGGGCCCGCCCCGTCGGAATCCCTGGCCCGACTTCCTCCTGCCGCGAGCGGCCGACCCAGCTGGAGGAAGGGGCGGCGGCGGCGGCGGCGGCCACGATGAGCGCAGGCGACGCTGTGTGCACCGGCTGGCTCGTCAAGTCACCCCCCGAGAGGAAACTACAGCGCTACGTGAGTAGGGGCGCCACCCGCCCACCCTCGCGTCCTCGGGTCCCCACCCGCGGGGTGGCCGCCGGGAGCCCCGGGGTTCTTTGCGCCCCAAAGGCAGCGGCTCCCAGCTCTCGGGGCTGCAGGCAAGGCCGATCCACCGAAAGTGAAATCGCACGTCGAGTCAGTGTCCCAGCTGCGGGCAGGGGCCCGGTGACTTGCCCGCGGGGCCGGGCTGCTCACACCGCCGCTGGCCCTAGAGGAGGAAGGCGGGTTGGGGCTGAAGCACCAGGCGCCAGTCTCGGTGCAGGAGCGGCCAGAGAGACATCTCGAAAGAGTGCCCTGTCTCTGGAGAGGAGTGGCCCTGAGTCCCATTGCCCTGCGAGGAAGACAGGGCAGGGGGTAGGGAGAAGCACAGCGGAACGGGGCCTGCATTCCACTTGGACCGTAAGGAGTGCTCTCTCTTATAGTTGTCATCGGACACTCCTATCTGGAACCTTCCACAGAATGTAACTCGTTTCTCATGCTGTCTCTTCTCAGCTTTTTCTTTATGCTGACACGTCGCTTTTTTTCTAGTACCAGCAGGAACCATGGACTTTTGCTAGTATGAAATAAGGGACACTCGGAAGAACACATTTTCCTACAAGTACATCTCCCTACATATTCTGTTATCATTTTAAATGTACTGCCCACAGCTCAAACGTTCATTATCTCCATCAACACCCTCAATATAAGGTCTTAAAAACATTCCCATTCAAGACTTGATTGCTACTGAATGTTCATCTATTAGGAAGAACCACTTCAGCCCTCCGGGAGTTGCATATAAATAGATATCAGGGCTTCTTGCTTTTTTTAGGCTGGCGGTAGCTTGATGGATCCATCTTGTTCATCATTCCCAATTTCTCTGCAACTCCAGAGCAGGGTGCTAGAGACAAACTCACTCATGTCTGCTCTGCTCCACAGCAGCCCACCCACAAACCTCTTGTGTATGGCATACTCCCAAACTGGTGACCGAGTTTCAGCCAAGTTTCACCACTGTTTTTGTTCCTACATTTATGAGGCACATACTGTGTGGAAGTGGAGGAGGTGGGATTATAAGAAAACTTTAAACCTGTATGTATACTTCCAGAAGGTGGACAGCAGCCTTTCCTAAACATACAATTGCTTAGGGCTCCTTTCCCCACTGACCCTAAGTGAGACAGTATCACTCTCTTAGGAGTCTTTGGGAAGTTTTTGTTGTTGTTTGGTCTGCTGAGCAACATTTTACGGGAATGTTGTTCTAGTTAGCATGTAGATGTCACAGATCTATACATACCGAGATTTTTCAGATTAACCACCAGTGTGTCCCTTCATGATTCTTTTTGATTCCCCAAGTCCATAAACACAAGGTCCAATATTTCTTAGCCTCTGAATAGCCCAGTTGCTTCCCTAAAAAAACAGTGAAGCTGTTTTGCAGACTCTTTTGATATTCAAAGGAGGCCAGAGAAGAAAATCTGCTCCCCAGGACCTTTGTGGGCAAGTGAAGGTTTATCACAGCATGGTACTTACAGGGCCAGCTCAAGGTGGGTTTCCTTGTTGCCCTTTGGAATGTGAAACATTTTAAAGGTTCACTAGATATTTTCAGAGTGTCACTCATTCTTCAATAGATGATTCAGAAAGATGGTGAACCCGGAGGGCAAAATTTATGGATGATTTTTTTTTTTCTAGTCCTGTTTTGTATCTTGTCCTGACCGGACTGGCTTAGGAAAGTTTATTAGCCTTTAGTCAACTTTGGGAAGGCATGAGTGCATATACCTATTATCATACGTGCTTCATTTTTTTTGAGGAGTGTGATGGAGATGTGGCAAGTGTGGACTTTGCAAATATAGGTAGGTGTTTGCAGCATTGTGATGGTAGGGTGGTGATAGGGGAGACTTAAGACACAAGAGTACCTAGATGTCATCTTATCAACACGGAAAGACATAAACCTTGACCTTTTAGCCCATGGTTGGGAATTTTTTCTCATTAGGGTCGTAGCCTTAGTCAATGCTGTTTTGTTGAAGTGTCTGGACACCTCAGAAAGAAAAGTCCCCTTCTTCTCATTTCTAAGTTCTGCGGGAATACTTGATGCCACTAGATGGCGATCATGTGTCAGTTCACCGGCATGGACAACACTGTTATTCACAGCCAACTTTTAATTAAGATCTTGTCCTGTCCTCCCTTTAATTGAGTGCCAACTCTGAACCAGTCCCATTGTCACGAGCTAGAGATACAGAGAAAGAAAGACTTGCTCCCTGACCTCAATAACTCCACAGTCTAACATTTGTACCACAATAACATAACAAAGCTAGTTTGTCACACAACCAGGGCAGTAGCTCGGTCCTTTGCGCTGCCAGGCCAACAAGCAGCACACCTTTAATGTTTGTTAAATTACAAATGGAAACTGAGTCTGTGTTCAGTGAAGTCTTTCAGTCCAAGGTAAGCTTGTGCTTCATCCTGGACTCCATAAGCCAAGGCAATCAGAAAGTTATTTTTATCACTGCTCTTTTAAACGAGAGTTGATTCTTTTTGTTTCACAAATAATATAGGAATATATTTTTGTAAAAATTCAAACAATCTAGGAATAAATAGAATTAAAAGTGAAAGATCCTCTTTAATTTACTCCACATCCTACCTTTTCTGTGAACCCCTCCTTATTCCACTTCCATCCCTAGGGATAACAACTGTTAGCAGTTTGGTGAGTATCATCCTAGAAAAATTTCTACAAAAGATATAATTTTCTTTTTGCACAAATGAGATTATGCTATAAAATTTTACTGCAATATCCTTTTTACACAACAATTCTGGACATCTCTATATAGATTTAGTGCATATAGATTTACTTCATTCTCTTAAACCATTGCTTAATATTCCTTGTAATATAATTTAACAATTTCTCTGTTGAGGAACATTTGCCTTGCTATATTTTCTTAACTTTAGAGAATGCTCTAACATCAATGATAATAAAATTATAATAACTCAAATTTATTGAATGCTTTTATTTGCCAGGCACTATGCTAAGGACTTTACTTGTATTATCTCATTTAGTCTTCAAAGCAACACTAAAAGCCCAGGTACTGTTTTTATCTCTGCATACAAGTTATTTGTGGATATATAATTTGCAAATATTTTCCACCAGTCTACAGTTTGTTGTTTTCTTTTTTTTTTTCATTTTATTTACAATATCTTTACTAGAGCAAAGATTTAAACTTTTTGATTAAGTCTAATTTATCAATTTTTCTTTTATGGATTATGTTTTTAGTGTCAAATCTAAGAACTCTTTGCCTAGCCCTAGATCCTGAAGCTTTTCTCCTATGTCTTTTTTACTAAAAGTTTTATAATTTTGTGTTTATATTTATATCAATGATCTGTTTGAGTTAAATTTTGTAAAAGGTGTGAGGTTTATGTTCTTGCAAAGCAATTTTACTTCTTTTAGTATCATTTATTGAATAGACTGTCTTTACTCCATTGAATTATGTTTGCGACTTTGTTAAATAAATCAGTTGGTCATACTAATGTAGGTCTGTTTCTGTTCCATTGATCTTCTTGTTCATCTTTATGCTAATACCATACTGTTTTGATGACAATAGCTTTATAATAAATCTTGAAATTAGGCAATTTTAGTCCTCCAGCTTTATTTTTGAAAATTGTATTAACTATTCTAGGTCCTTTGCCTTTTTATATCAAGTTTAGAATTTGTTTATTGTGCTCGCTTCAGTAGTGTATATATTAGAATTAGTTTATCAGTTGATTTTTAAAAATTTTCTAATAAGACTAAATTTATTCAATAATTTAGTAAAAGTTTTTATTATAAGTATCTGACAGTATAAAAAGTACAAAACAGATATGTAGATTTCTAATATATTAATGCAAAGTTCATGACTGCATACAGTACATCCTACAGGGGAAATGAGCCGGAAGGGGAAAAAGACTGTAGTTGAGGTCTAATAATAAATAACTAAATAAATGCCGAAGTAGAGATGATCCATATTATAGTATATTCTACCACCAATATTGCAGCCAAAATGTACAAAAATAAAAAAGAACCATTTCAAAATAGGAGGAAGATAATAATGGCTGGGACTCTTGTAATACACCTTAAAGGCTATTAGGGAGCCAACCCAACTCACTGTGTAGTCCGTGCATATAGTGGCTTGTAGTTTTATCAGGTGATTTTTGTATATTAACCTTGTATTCTTCAACCTTGCTAAATACACTTATTAGTTCTAGTAGCCTTGTTTATAGTTAGAATCTGTGGCGTTGTCAGTGTTACATAGAAGAGATGAGAGCAGTCATTCTTTATCCTGATTTTAGGGGGAAAGCATTCAGTCTTTCACCTTTTAAGTATGTTTTCTGTAGGTGTTTTGAAGGTGCCTTTTATCAAGTTGAGGAAGTTCCCTTGTATTGCTAGTTTGCTGAGACTTTTATTTTTTATTGTGATTTGGATTTTGTTAAATACCTTTTCTGCATCTATAAAAATAATGATATGCTTTTTAAAAAAATCGGTTACTATGGTGAATTATTCTGATAGAATTTTGCATGTTGAACCAGCCTTGAACTTCTAGAATAAGCTTCACTGGGTTGTAATACATTATCCTTTGCATATATTCCTGGATTTAAATTGCTAATATTTTGCTGAGGTATATTGGTCTGTAGTTTTCTTCTTTTGTGCTATCTATGTCTGGTTTTGATATTAGCATAATGCTGGCTTCATAAAATGAAATGGAAAATGTTCCCACCTGTTCTATTTCCTCAAAGATGTTGTGCAGAAATGGTATTCCTTCTTAAATATTTGGTCAAATTTACTCTTTTGTTTTTTTACCATTAAATGGATTATACATTTATTACAATAGAGCCATAATTTATTTATTTTTAAATTTTCTTCAATATTACTTTTTAAATTGAATTTATTGGGGTGAAATTAATATACAAAAGAATTCACCATCAAAACTATCTAGACGTACACTTTTCTTTGTGAGACAGTTATTAACTACAATGTCTATTTC